CTTTAAAAATGTTTGAAGTAATAATTATATTTATTAAAAAATGTTTTGTGATATAAAATAATTCAATATACAATACAAATATATTAAATAATAAAAAAAAATACAAAAAAATAATGCAAGAAAAAAAATGATACAAGAAAAAAATATAAAAAAAATAATAAAAAACAATAAAAAAACAATATATAAAAAATATAAATAATACTACAGATTAAGTTTAAATAATTTATTTATCTTATTCTAAGACATTACTAAGTTTCTTTAGTCAAAAGATCTATATTTAAGTTCAGAATATTAAGATGAGACTTCTTTTAATAAATCATTATATATTTTTTCATTATTTAATATATTATTAGCTAATTTATATAAAGAACCACTGTTACTTTAAAATTACTTTAATTAAATATATTAAATATTAGAAATTATTTAAATTTAACTTCTGGTAAAATTCATTGGTTATATAATTATATTATACTATATATTATGCAATTATATATTACTATATAATTTTAAATATCAAATAGACAAATTTAATACAATTGCAAAGAAGAAACAAAATTTATCTATATTACTACTTAAAATCAAGAAGTATAAACTGATCTTTTTGAATTTTAGTAATAATCAATTTAAACAAAGATATAAAATATATTATTAAATACATTTTGCAAAAGTATTGTACTGAACTTTTGAAAACTTTGTTTAAAAAAAAGAAGAATATTAGCAAATATATTAACAAAAACATTATACAAACTTTTTTTGAAGCTTATCTTAACTAAACAAAATATCTTAACAAATTATTTTGTAAGACTTTAGATTTTAAACACTTTATACTTATACTTTTTAAAGATTTTTTATTGGTTTTGCATAAGTCTAAACTTTTACTCTATTTAGAAATACTAAAAGTTTTAATTGTTTAACTCATTGTTATATAGTCAAATAAATTTTAATCAGATATATATATTTTTTTTACTACTTTTAGTTTATAAGAATGAACAATATATATACTAGTATATACTTTATTTGAAAGCACTTTTAAAATTGATTTTTATATCAATATATAGTTAGGTTTTGTCTATAAAAAGATATAAATAATGAGCAAAATATTGTATTAAACTATATTACAAATAATATCACAAATGATATTACAAATAATATAACAAATAGCATTATAAACAATGCTATGAATAATATTACTAATGATACTACAAGTGATGCTACAAGTGATATCTCAGACAATACTATAAATATGAATATCATAAACAGTGCTGTAAATAATGATGTGAATAATATTGTGAACAATATTATGAATAATGCTGTAAATAATATTGTAAACAATGTTGTGAATAATATTGTAAACAATGTTATAAATAATGATGTGAATAATATTATAAACAATATTATAAATAATACTAATAACTATTTTTTAATATTAGATAATGATTAAAATGATCTCAATATTAGTAACACTTAGATTTAAACTTCTGATAATCTTTGCTATATTTTTACTAAAATAATCCTTAATGTGCTGATTACAAATAAGTAACAAAAACTGAGTTTAGTTTTTTATTTATATCTTATAATTAGTATTTTGAGATTATTTTTGGCTAGTTTATTTTTTAATCAGTCATAAATTTACTTAATGTTGTGACTGATGCTAAAATTAGCTAATGCTAAAATTTGGTATTCTAATTTTAAAATATAGACTCTGCTAGAATCTATATATACTCTTTAATTATAAATTCTAACTCTAAATTCTAACCTAACTATAAAAAAAAAGCAGTAAAAAAACATTACAAAATTTATTTAAAATTTTATATCAAAATAGGTTCAAATTTTAACATCAGCTAATTTTAGCATCAGCTGTAACACTTAATATTAATATTTTACAATTTTTTTAGATTGTTTTATTATATAGAAAATGCTTTTAATGACTGGTTATTTGTTGATATATTTATATATTAATATTGTCATGAATAAGGTTTTGGATTTTAAGTTTTTCACAAAGATTAAGATCTGGATAATTCTTTTATTACTTATACAAGGTTTTTTATTGCTTATTAATAAAAAATATAAAGCTAAAAAATCAGTAATTAGAATTTGCAGTGTTTGTATTGTAATATAAAAACTAGTTGTAAATAGCATTATAATTTTATTTTTTTATTTTTTTTAATATTTAAAGTGAGGTTACGCTTCTGATTTTTATTAATATATACTTATTGGCAAGTTTTTATATATATACTAATATAGTATTATAGAGACTTAGATTAATTTATCTACAATCTAATCCTACTAGAGTAGTCTATACTCCACACATGTCTCACCTAGCTTAATGTTTCTTAACTAACTATTTCTAATAATATCACATTCCTCTTACGTTTCATATAATTAGTTATAACTTCTAATTTGATATATCAGATGTCTGCTTCTAATGAGCTTCTAATTTGGTGTATCTGCAAGTATAACCTACTACAATTTTTTACTAAAGTACTTTATTTGTGCAACTGTGATTGGTGCAGATAGTCTTTCTACAACCTCATATCTTAGGCAGAAATTTGCTGCCTAATTAGATTCACTATATAATAAAGTTAGTATTCTATTGTTGAATTAAGGACTTATCTTGAGTTTGTACTGCTTTAACTGGTTTGCATCCCTTTATATATCATCTCTTTCTATAATTATCTTAATCTTCCACTTATCTGCTTAGATATTATTAACCCATATCTCAAGCCAAACTTTGCAGTTGTTGCTGGTTTGCTTATCTTAGGACTTAACATTCTTTTTCTGATATAGTGGTACTAACTAATCTATTTGTCTTTTCTTATATAGTATATTACCAGAATATAGGTGCTTTCAATAGAAAGGGTGAGATCTTCTTTTTGATCAAAAAATTTTTATTAGCTGATTAAATAAAGTATATTCAAATATACAATTAATTAAAATATTAAATTATACTATTTTAATAATTTATTTATATATTTTAAATTTTATATAACCACATACAAAAAGTATTATCAGTATGATCTGCATCGATATATATTGATCTATATCGATTTACATCAATTTACATCAGCTTATATATTATACATAGTATGTATATATTATTGTATATATTAATTAGTAATAAGTAAGTTAGGCCAAACTTAGTAACATGCATTTGAAGAATAATAAAAAAAAATACATTTATAAAAGTCATATATATATTTTCTCTAAATTTGAGTTTGCATATAAAAAGAGTGTGTGCTTATAGGTGTATTTGTTTGGGTCTACTGCAGAACTCACAAGCAAAATTTAGTATTCTGATTACTTACTATATTGAATTCTAGTTTATTTAATTCTTTTGCTAATAATCAATATTCTGCTTGTTTTTTTATTCTCTAGTTATATCTGCATTTTAATAATTGTAAACTTGGTTCATGATTGTCACGTGGTTTCAGATTGTAATTTAAAGTTAGTTTATTATCACTATGTAATTTTTTAACAATAGTATTAATCATAAGCTTAGGATGTATTCAACCACCTCTCTCAATGTAATTAGTAAGTAATCGAGATAATGCTCAAATGCTATGATCAACTAAAATAAAGATTGTGATTAGTGTTTGAGATATCTTTTTCTCTGATTTTCAAGAAAAAAAAGCAATTATCCAGTTATCTAAAAATTTAGTATCCAAGAATTAGTGCAGCTTTATGAAAAAAATTAGTAGTCACAACTCCAAGTTTTTTGATCTATGATGATTACTATTAATTTTTTTGACTAATCGAATTGTTTTGCTAACTCATTGAGGTAGATGCTTAAGAATGGTCTAAATTAGTTTACTGTTCAACGTATGAGAAATTTAATTATTAATTAATATATATTTTATTTTGAATAGCAAATAGTAATGATCCTACAAGTCATAGAGACAAGAAAAATATAATAAACAAAATTATTAAATGAATTTACAACAACAAGCAGAAGCATTCAACTTACTGAAAGCTAATTATCTGCAAACTGATTTCTTAGGCACCATAATGCTGATATACTATTTATATTTGATATTACATATTTTTTACAATCTTATTTTTAGACAGGACATTTCCTCAATAATCATTTTCTTAACTTAACTTTGTTTAGTTTATTTAGAGTTTATATTGGTTAGAATTATATGCCAAAGAAATAATTGTTGGGAAATATCTTATTTAAAAAAAGATTATCAAAAATATATAATATCAAATATATTCCTTATCAAAAAAATATGCTGTTGATGAATAGTATGTATAGTGTTGAGGAGGGTTTTGATCAAAATTCTGACAAGAGAATTCTGACAAGTCATAATCCTGACAAAAAAATTCTGAAAAAAACCTCTGACAGCAAAAATCCCAATAGCCAAAAATCTAATAGTTAAAGTTCTGAAAATTAAAAATTCTGATGAAAAATATCATAAACTCTAGCTAATCCTAACATAACCCTTATTTAAAGTGGCATAATCCTAAAGTTAATTAAATTATAAGAGGCTACTTCTCTTTAAACATACCAGATTTTCTATTTGAAAATTCTGACTGTTAAGATATAATTGTCAAGATTTTTTGTTAGAATTATGACCTGCTGGGATTGTAATTATCAGGATTTTGACTGGCACACATTGGGAATGAATTGGTAAATAAATAACTTTTGAAGAATCATGCTGTAACTAAAGCAAGCACCTCATCATGGGCTTAAATCAATAGTAAATTACAAGTTAAATGCTGCAAATCAAAATAGTATATAAAAATCAATATTCAAAGATCCAAATACAGGTAAGTGTGATTGAAATTACTTACTGCATATGGTACTTTGAACAGAATTAATACAAGTAGAGTTTAAAAATATATAGCTTATTTTTACGAAAAAACAGTTAATTTTGCTACAAAAAGTTAGCTATATTCATCAATTAATACTCTTTTCTAGAATCTAATATTTGCTTAAAGCTACTAAATAATAGTTAAAATTACAAAATTCTAAATATTCTATAATAATATTTATTTTAATGAGTTTACAAAGTTATTTATTATTTTTAAATATCTTTGAAAAAACTCATGAAGAATTAGTTTCTTTAAATTCTGCTTATAATCAACTTTTAATTGCATATAAATCTCAAAAAAATTTAGAAATTGATAATAATAATAGTGAATTAAATAGTAATTTACTTTTATTTAATAATAGTAAATTAGAAGATAATTCACTATTAATTAATAGTAATGATAATCCAATTTTTAATTTTAATTCTGTATTATCTAAAATACAAATTGATACATATCATCAAATTTATATGAAACAACCTTTTGAAAATGATAAAAATGAAGAATTAAATTCTATTAAATCAATTAAAAAACAATTAAGTAGTCAAAAAGAAGAAGCATATCTTCATCGGCTTTCTACAAATAAGTGTTATACAAATAATTGTTTAATTAAAGTTAATCACAATAGTGGATTAATAAAATATAAACAAATTTGAAATTATACAAAAGCTAAATTAGATATATTTTTACTTGCAATGATTGAAGCATTAATAAGAACACCAGAACAAACAGTAAAGAAAAATTCTAAAATGCTTCATACTACTTTATATCAATTTGAGAAAATTAAAATTTGTAGAAAAGTGTTTTTTTTAATTTTTAGAATAGGTGAAAAAAATGGGACAATGTACGTGAACATTATAATAATTATGATTTTGTACAAGTTGTATATAAATTAAAAAACAAAACTAGCAATTGTACAATATCTTTTCAAACAGTTTTAAATATTTTAACTTTTATAACAAATTATGTGAATATTCATGGATTACCATCACCTAGTAAATAATAAATTTATATTATTTAAGATTATATAAATTAATATTAAAATAAATAATTAAACTTTAATAGGTCGATATTTACGTGAAGATACAAAATTTATTATATTTTTGCTAGCAAATGAAAACTATTCATCTTTATATAGATTATATATTGATACAATTGAAGAATCTTCTGATTATAATATTAGCTTTACATTATTTTATCAGATTTGGAAAAAATATATACCTGAGTTTAAATTTTTGACATCATGAAGCAATCTTTGTAAGCTTTGTAAAGATATGTGATTCAATTCAAAATATTGGCCAGAAAATGAGATTAAAAATAAAATTAAACAACGGAATTATCATTTTGAGTGGGCTTAGTGTGAAAGAATATTTTACAAGATTATTATTATAATAGTATAGTAAAATTATATATTTATTAATATTAATTATTAATATTATTTATTTAGTAAATGTATTGAAGATACAAAAAAATCTATTCAGCAAATTAAAAATTTTTTTCTTTTATCACGACCTGGAATATTAAATTCATTAAATTTTACAAACCATATTTCTTGAGATTTTGCTGAAGATGTTCATTTATCATTTTCATCACAGCAAGAGGTATAGTTTAATTTAAAGATATTGATATTAATTAGTATTAATACTTCTAG